GCAGCAGGGCTGCAAACATCCAACAGCAGAAAGTGACACCAGGGCCATGTGAATGAGTCTTGAGCTCAGGACTAACGGTGGCTTCTTTTTTGTCCAGTGTGAAAGGTTATCTTGCTGGAAGCACCAGCTGCCTTGTTGGCCCTTCCTTGTGCTATAGGAAGCAGGCTATTAGCTGATAATATATAAAGCAAAACCTTACCAGCCTTCTTCAAACAGAAACACATATCGGAGAAGAGAAAGAAATGAAATGGAACAAGGCAGCAGATGGTGTTAGCTTCGGAAAGAGGCACAGAAAGGTTCAAGACCCTTGCCTGCATTCGTGTCAGTTATGTTACCACCCTTAAGATGTAGCTCCTCTCTACCACATGGTTTACAAATCATGGGGTCAAGTAAGAAACAAGTTTTTGTTAAAATGACAGATTTGTTCCTTTGGTACACAAATACCAGAGTTATGCCTGATAATCTACTGACAAAAGCAAGGCAAATCTAAATAAATAATAAAACAGAAAACATCTTCAGCTCTGTTTCACTCCAATTATCAGTTTCCAGACCTTTTACTGAATAAATGGGATCCCGTTCCATCAACAAAAAAACCTCATTACTCTGTTCTGAGTACTGATCCATGCACCACTGAAGTGGTCGCAGCAGATTTAGGGGACACTGTTCCAGAGGGAGTAACACTGCCCTGGTTTGGCATGGAGAACCTTTACTGCTTATGGTGATGAGCAAGACGCATGAGCGAGGAGGGAGTGGAGAAAGGGATAGTCAAGGGAGGTGGAAAAAGAGAAATCTGGCATGATTTGGTGAAATTTATAGGGCTAACAGAGAGTCTTGCTGTGTATTTGCTGATAAGCATAGCACACTTGACAAGGAAATACTGAAGAGGCAAAGGTGTCTGATAACATTGGACTTCTGCTGTTTTCAGTGGTCAGTCCCATTGTAATGTGTGGTTCCAGACAAAGCTTTGCAGGGAAGAGAAGAAGGTCTATCTGTACCATCCACTCTAACTATAAGGGTTAACCATGCAGGTTAACTGTGGTTGGATGATATGAAAAAGCAGTAGCATTTTACAGTATTTCTGGTCACACCCAGCAATATCTGCTCCCCACTTTCAGCAGCCTCCCAGCCTCCCCATTTTCTCTCTGAATTATCAGAGACATTAAGTCCTCTTTTCCACTCCCCACTTTGACTGATCTTTCTAATTAGGCGCACTGAACAAATAGATCTGAGAAACAGCCTGGCAGCAGCGAGCAGCCTTGGTTCACTGCATGCAGGGCATGAAAAAAGCTCTGCTCTCCCTGGGACAACGTGAGAGCTACAACCAGTGACTCAGCGTTAGCCCAGAGATTCCCTGCTCTCCAGGGAATCTGAGACAACCCCTCCAAGCATTCCTGCCTATTTCTGCACACAGAGGGATCAGACCACAAAAAATACTCCTTAAAACAATTTCCTACCTCTAATAAATATACACCTCCCATCAACTACCAAGTAAAACAATGCTGTCAAGCTTTGCCTCGTGATCCACATCTATGGACACATCCAGGGTGAAGCCTATACTGAAATGTGTTTTTTTGTGTAACAGCTGCGCTCTGTGCCGTGCAGACACGGCATTTCATTAAGCACAGGGTAATAGCTTGATTCCCTTAGGGACTTGCTGCTGGAAAATAGAACATCTCCTTTCATAAATGGGCAAGGTCACCATGCACCACACATTCCTCAATGCACACGTTCATTTTGGAGTTGATGCTGAGATAATTGAGCATCTGTTCATTATACGTTTCATATTAATGCAATAACGTATCTTCATGTAAAAATAATTTCACAAGATCTGAGGAAAACCAACATTTCAATGCCATCTGTTCAGCTACTCCAGAATACAGCAGAAGAATTCTGATTTATGCCCAAATTATTTTTTTTTATTTTACTCTTCATGTTGGATTCAGAATTTGAAAAATTCCAGATAAGAAACATTTTAAAAGCACGAACTAAGGCATTTTGCCCCTTCACACCTCATCACCCTTTCATAACTTTCAGTTGCTTTTTTATTTAACGGAGTCATCTTCCAGCATATTCACATGTACACACTGTGAACAAGACAGTTCATAAATGTGACATCTCAATCTTTAAACCCCTGTAGATATGATAGAAACCACAAAAATTTCACAGATTGTGCTAAGAGATATATGAAGAGAGATAAAAAATGATAGGCAATTTCTTTCAAAATATTAAGTACTACCAAAAAATCAGGAGTCCCCAGAGGACCTTATCTGAAGAACCCAAGCATTATGCAGTGCAACTAATTCCTGCCAATCTATTTCTCTACTTTCATTTTATTTCATCCCAAATACTGTTTTTGTCTGTTTGTCTAGAATATTTAGAAGCTGGCAACCTGTTTTTCTCTATCCCTCTGGTTCCTGGGAAACTTCGCTTCTGGATGTGAAAATGAGAAATTCCAGAGGATTATACTAGGTCATGGCACAATGTAAAAGACGAAAGCGTTACTTTCAAAGTGAAAGTGTGATCAGTCAGTAGAGAAGATTACATAGGGTAGAATACGAAAGTAGAAATAAAGTATTTTCTCCTAAAACCAGATACAAATACTGTATTGCATTAAATCCAACAGTTTGTGGGGGAAAAGAATAATTATGCAGTAGAGATTACAAATTATATATGTGCACGTAAGGAAGAGAAGGGATTTTATTCTGAATTTTCCTGTGCATACTCAAATATATGCATTCTTCATCAGAGATTATGATCAGGAATGTCAAATGCAAATATTGCCTGAAGACTCGGAATAAGCTTTTGCTGCATTTTTTATCTGTTATATAGCTCAGGGGTTTCCCAAACTGGAGAATGCAAACCACAACTGTAAATGGAAAGTGTAGTCTCTAGATTGTGAATGACTGATTATGTGGCTTAAAGACATCCAGCAAACTTAACTGGAAACAATCCGCAAAAATGTTAAGAATAATGTTTCTTGCCCTCTTCATCTGCCATGAAATTAACAGTTACTGGAATTAACTGTTTCACTTCTACAAAACAACCAAAGGCTATCAACATTTTCACATGGAAATTACCTTTGAAGAGTTGGGTTTCTGCCTTAGGGAAGTATTTTTGCTTTATTTTAAAAAGAACAGCATCAAAAAGACACCTTTTTCTTTGAGGGGACCTGAATGAGTTGTGAGCATACCCCTAGAGTTTTTTTCTTTTCAAGGCTGCAGCAACCTAACTTAGAGAGTTGCCTCCTTCTTTTGTTCAGTTGAAACACATTGAAGCAGGCTGTCAAAGGTTCAAGGAGAGGTTATCAAGTCCTGTTTGCTGTTGGCATGTCTAAAACTGCTGACACATGCTAGGAAAAAAAAGGGTACATTTAGTACAGCTGCATCAATAAAACAGCTACTAGGGAACCTCACCTAGAGCTAACAACACCACTAAGCTGTGCTGGCCAACTAAAGAGATAAGCCAGTAATATTCATACAGAAAATGCAAACAAAGCTTATAGAAGTCCCAAAAAATAGCTTAGTTTGTCATTTTCTTAGTGGATTAAAAAAAAGGCAAAACACCATGCAAACACACCACATTTAGGATTTTGTTGTTTGATGATGGAAACCATTATCTCCAGTCTTCAGTGATAAAAGCTGTAGAAACAGCTAAAAAATGTTCATTGAAAGGAAAAGTAATGAAAAATTGTGCACTTGCAAAAAACAACCAATGTGATGGTTTCCTTTTATATCACTTACAAATTTTCCTGAACAGGAAAATAACCTACCCTCTGTTGAAAACACGAGAAAAATCAAACTCTGTTGTTGGACATACGTAAGATTTTCTAGCTTGATGCCTCAAAACATTAGGAGGAAAAACACAAGCCTTCTGCCAGACCTACTTGTCTCTAAGTAAGTTATCTGTAGCCCTATTTTACCTCTAACTCCAGCAGAACTAGGAGGAGTACTTTTCCAGTCAAGCCGTGTTCAAAGTTTCAGACCAATACTCTAAAGATACGTTGACCTTTCTCAGATTAATTCCACGTAATTCCTTGCCTGCTAGGGCCACATCTGTCCCCTCCCCTCATTTCACATTGCTATGTACAAATTCACATTAGCAGTAAGCATTAGCTTGAACTCTGGCACTTATAGCTGGAGGAGTCTGAGCAAGTTTATGACCTCACCACTGGCCTAAGCTCCTGAGGACCTTGAGGTCCTCAGGCCAAGTCGACTCCAGATAACTAGTCTAACAGTGTCTCCTTACAAATCTTTACATTCAATTCAGCAAAGGGCTTTGACATCCTTCTTGACACTAGAGATCTGGTTTTCCTCACCGAAACAAACCGCATGGGTGGAGGTCATACAGGTCTGTTCTTCAACTCACAGGGCTGTCTTAGCCTTTGTGTTCTCCTGCAAGCAACTTTGGAAAGCACCCTTTTCAAATGCAACAGTATTTTATCACTTCATAAGTAAGGTTAAACTGGAGCTGACATGAGAAGATGGCAGATGCCCTACTGTACTGCAGCAATGCACAGCCCACTATACCTTGCCACTAGGCTTTGTCTTATGAAATGAGTTTTAATGCCCCAATTAGGGCAAGGAGTCAAGTGTAATAGGCTCACAGTTTTATTTTTGAATGTTCGAACATTATGTTTTGAAAGTGGGTGAATGAAGAGAGTTAGTTCATGAGAGCAAAATGCTGCTCCTCTTGCAAAAAGGAAATTTGCTAAGGTAACATGTTTTTGAAAAAATTAATTCTCAACAAACAGCAATGCAGAAAAGAAGAATAATTACATCACTACAGTGCAAAATCCTGCATCACCTATCAAAATAAGACAGATCCAGGTTCATTCATGTACAATTTTTTCGTTTGTTTGTCTTAGACACAACAAAAATACACAACAGTTACAGTGGAAGATGGTATTTTGTTCTTTATGAATTGAGTATAACAGAAGTCCTCTGCTTCACCCAGCTGAATGGATTTCAGATTAGACTCTAGAATAAAATATAGAAACTTACCTTGCATTTCAACATGTTGGCCACTCTCTCTTGCATTGATTGTCCAGCCTTTGGCCTGACAAGTATATAAACTGCTTTTACGTCAGGGCTGGAGCGCAGAAGCTTTTCCACCAGTACTTTGCCCACGAAACCTGTAGCTCCTGTGATAAGTACGGTCTTTCCATTGTAATAAGCTGAGACTGAAGACATGGTGCTTTCTTGTTCTGTCCTTCCTTTATCTTCCTGCAGGAGGTACCTGAGAAGATGAAGAAATAAAGCTTTAAAGGCTTTTGAGTCAAGACACAGATCAGTTATTTGGGAATTACAGTCTGAGATAACCTTTCCCAGTCAGCTATAGCAGCTCACATTAGGTCAATCAACAGCAATTTTAAAGACGATTTCTTTAAAAGCCTTTATTATGAAAATAAACCACAAAAATTAAAAAGTTTAATCTGAGAAGCTTAAAAAATCAAGCTCAGCCTTATCCTCTATATTATACCATAGCTGCACCCAGCAGTCACAGTTTAGAACATAGCTTGTGCTGTCGAAGACTCCTAGCAGTAGACACTCACTGCAGTGTTGAATAGCATTTATCTCATACACTGTGAAGTGGCAGCCATGAAGATATGCAGTTATCCCTACAAGACAAAGTAGAAACAGATCTCCTCGCAAGCACTGCAGGTACAAATTAAAGTTTTCCACTTTAATTCCACTGTGCCAAGCAGTTCCTTTTCTTGTCAGCCATCACTTTGCAATGTGCTCAGCCTTTCCCTATTGTCTTGTCTTGGAATAAATCCCTGAAGAAAACTCCTCTTCATGGAAGATACAGTGCAAGACTGCAATACCATACTCCTGTGTATCGGTCATCACCCATTATTGGCTGTTAAGGCCAAAATTCATCCCACTTAACTCTAAGGAGCATAGATGTCATATACTTTCTCTGGAGAGTTTAGGTTGTTTGAACTGCCCTTTGGAGATCCATTGACTATATAAGGGGACTGACATGACTAGGCTCCCACATGAAGTGTCCCAGTTAAGTATTTTAATTAGATACAATGGTTTCAGGCCTACATGTCCCCAGCCATCCTGATTCAAACTCTAAGTTGATTAAATGACAAACATGGCTGGACTGAATCCTCCCAGAAGAGCCCCTGGGAGGGGGCTAGACTAACTGAAGGGAAAAAACCCTCCTATCATTGAAGTTCTGCAGATCACAGCATGCACAACTTCCATTGCAAGGGAAAGGCTCACATAAAATATAAATAAATGTTTTGAAAAAAGCCTCCTAAATTTGAAACAAAAAGAAACAAGAATAGTAGAACGCTGACGATCAAGTATTCAAGAACGAGGACAATGATCTTCAGGTACCCCAGGAAAACTTCACTTCCTCCTGCAGAAGCTTCAGAGTCTCTGTTGGCCATTTCAAGTTTCTCAACGTGACATGAGTCAACTGCATACTAATAAAATGCAAATATACCAAAACAGAAATACAGCATTTGCTGCATTTTTGCAGTCTGTGAAGATTCCCTGTTCTTACTAACCCTTTTGCATTTCTGAAACCTAACAAACCATTCAGGGACAGTGAAGTAGCCTACCTTAGAGCAAAAACTGCAAGCCTTCATACAGAAACATCTTATATAATGAGTCCCTGGCTAGGACCAACACAAATGAACACCAGCAAAGAGTTTAAAGTACTGTAAGAACCTTAGCTACATGTGATGGTAGGTTAAATTCCCTTCACCGCATGGGACCACAAGAGAAATATAACTTGTGTCAAATAGGCTTGTCCTACAGCCTATGCCTTCCTCAGGATGGAGTGAAGTATTTTACCCAAGAAAATTGACCACCAGCTATGTGAATCAAGAGAAGCACCATGGATCAACCCTTACGAGGTGTACCGTGTTCATTGCAACACTCAGGAATGTGCTTAGCTGGACTGCGATCCCCAAGGTGTTACCACTCGTAACAGTGAAAAGCAATTCACAGTCTGTGTTACCGTGCTGTCATTATCTGGGTCTACAGCTGATGCATCTACCCAGACCTGACTTTGCATTCCTACCAATCTGCCAGTTTTCACAATCACTGTACTGCTACCTGGAAACGTTGAATGCATATTTCTAATGAGCTACAGCCCAGACACATAAACTAGGGATTCAAGCCCAACAAAACATTGTTCTTCTTTCCCAGTGCTGCCTGGGACTGCAGTACATAGCGTCAAAGAAATTAAAATCCCCAAATTTCTTTATCTGTAATGAATCATCAGGTGTGCCATCCAATTTAGAAAGTGGGTCAAGCAGAAAAACTTCTGAAGGACACTATTTTACAAATTAATAGCTGTGGGTATTCTGGCTCAGTGAATTCGGATATTAGCCTACTTTCAGATATGGCCTCGATCACAATTTAAATGAATGTAGCAGGCTTGTCTAGGCCTATTAAAAACCTGTTCTTATCAAAGAGCTGGCCACTTGGGAAGTTAAACAAACAGGTTAAACTATTAGATAATTAACTTATTTATAATAAAATTTCACATCTCATTCAGGTTCGGAAAAACTGAGTGATATTGGAAGACAGGAACTTGCAGAACCTGGTGTGCAACTCCAAAAGTAGATACTAGTTTAGCTAGATGAAGACGGAGGTGACAAAAGACTTAAGAAATTTGGTACGACACATGCCCTGCAAAGCAGAAAAATTAATGAGAGAAGTCCGTAGTCACTAGAGGCCATACAAATTCTACTGAACATAAGGAAACAAAAAGATGAAATGTAAGACCACTTCCAGTCACTGAATACTTGCTTTGAACTTGTATTCAGAAGATCATATCTACTTAACCTCACCTAATGTTCTGCTAGAAAAATGGTACATTTATAAAGTACTTTGCACCACAGACTTGGAGATTACCATGGTGTTTAACAGGAACTACTCTCCTTCCCACACTTCAGTAGTACAGAACTCTTCCAACCTGCATCGCTAAACATTAGTGCTTTGCATTATAGTTGTAGACTACTGCAAAAATAATGGTTAAGATTTCAGAATGTGGACATTAATTTATTATATTATTTCATTTGGGTTCTCTGTTTGAGTTATCCAAATGTTGCTTCATTTGTTTTGGCCAGATGTTCCATACCTACTAGAAGAGTTTAAAAAAAAAAAAAAGAAAAAATCACACTACTTTAAACTGTCCCTAAAATTAGCCACGCAGCCAGATTTCATTAAGTATTTCTGGGAAGGGCTACACGCGCATAACTGACAGTTTTCCCCCATGTAGTCTGAGATGATTTTAAACATTTGTCTCAAAAAAGTCAGGAAAACAATTGCATCTCCCAAACCATTCTGGTATGATGAAAATGGAAGCACCAAACACAGCCACAGAAAAACTGAACTTCTAAGGCAACCTGCTGTTCCTCTTGATTATTGGATTAACACTATAGGGTTAAAAGAAAAGGTAAGAAAAAACACATCATTGCTATTTTCTGTAATAAAGCAGTCCAAGTCAGGCAGCATATAGTTCGCAGGGCCAGTTTCAGAGTTGGATCCAGTTGCTCAGGGCCTCATCCACAATAAAAAGCCATGAGGAATGAGATGGCATTTGCTTATTATGGGATCAGATTTGTGTCTCCTTGCAGTACTTTTTTTTCCCTTTCCTAAGTTAGCTTTAGAAGAAAATACAATAATCTTGCACCCATCTGATGCCATGCTAATTATCAGCAAAGAAAATGTGTTTATTTGTTTAATGTGCACAAATTGATGATGTGACATCATGACACAAAAGTCACAATGCTGCAATCTGCTATGTGCAGACAGATCCCTGAATCTCCACTGTCCAAGCAAATTTCAAGAGGCTTTCACTAGGTTCCAAATTCAAAAACAGATTCCAGTTCATATTCAGGATATGCCCTTACAGAAATTGCTAAGATATTTTCCTTTCAACTTAGTCACGGAATATTGTTTTTTTTCCTTTTCAGAACCATCTTTGTTTTCTATATTTTTAAGAGTGCGATTTTATAACAGAATTTATTCTTCTCCGTTTTAAGTGATTTTGCTTGGCCTTTGTAAAGAAAGTACTGAAGAAGTTATGGAGATTTTAAGGAACCAGAGGATTTCTAAGGTCAAAGGGTGTGATCCAAGTAATGTCTGACCCTCTGGATGTCTACTTCAAAATTCAAAGAACTATATGCATTCCTTTTTGACTTTTTACACTCAGTCAAATGAAGAAAAAATTGTTTCCTGCAGAAGCTAATACTTTGCTTTTCCTTTTATGGAATAAGCAGTCAATACTGGACATTAACTATTTCGCAGTCAATTGAGCTGCAAGGGATTAAGCATCTGGGAAGAGAAAACTATCTGAAGTCTGAACCATGGTCAGCAGTTGCAGGGAGTTGGCCCTTATTGAGGTGAAGAAGGGTAAAGCCTATTTCAGAGCCTGAGGTTCCTGTCTCTTCCAAAACTGACTGGAGGTGAAAGCCACTGATGGTGGAGAAAAGCCCACACAAGGGCTTCCTGAAGCCCTGTTCAAGCGACTAATTACAGGCAACTCTGACGGTTTAGGCACTAATCAGAGCAGGAAAGTGATCACTGATGTCATCTGAACTACTGAACACAGCACGTTTGCAGCAGTATTCATCTCTCTGATGCTGACTCATCTCCAACCATATTGTGAAAAAAAACCCTTTTGGACAGTCAGCCAGGAATCACACTGAGCATCGCTGCAGACACAAGTACACAAGCTGCTTTAAGGGTAAAAGCTCTGTTACTGATGCCTGTAACAGCCTCCTCTGGATCAGTCATAAGGGACGACCTACAGTGCTGCATTACAACCAAAGCCACGGTCTTGTGCCAGGGGCATATGCCAAAGGACAGTCAAAGGGAAAGGTGGGAATCCTACCAACCTAATACTTTGCTCCTGCAAAAGAAAACCCTCATATCCCCAACAGAAGAGTAAAGCAGAGCTTTCCCCCACCAAGAACAGATACAATTGCGCCGATGTTTAACAAAACAACTAATACACTGTCCTCATCTTCCACATACTTCAGTGATGCCAGATCTACATTCGGCTCACAATGGTGTAATGCCAAGAGTTAGACTGCTAATAAAGCCATAGCAATGGGAAGGGAAATGTATATCTGAACCTCATTGACTGCTGCTACTGCTGCTGCCCAGAGCAGGTCCATGGCTGCAGGGTGTTAACAAGAGATGGCAAAATGGAGCACGAGCAATGAAGGATGGGT